TATTCTTTATTGCACGAATAAATTATTCACAATCAAATGTTTAGCGCCTTCTTGAATTTTGACGTTAACAAATTAAACGAGTTGCTTGCACTGTTATTTTGTATAACGACATTATACATTGATTAGGAAGGGAAGAGAACTTCACAGTGTAGTTCCTTTTTTTATTTGTTTATTTCCTCCTGTTCGGCATTGCTGCCTTTCAGGGGTGTTAACATTTTACAAAATAATACTTCGACATTCGTTCTCACGCTAATTGTCCTGAATATTACAGGCTGTGTTCAGTGTATAACTTTGAAAAATCTGATTTGATGTGAATTTATTTTTATAATTCATTGAATAAAATATTAATATGTTATTATTTTATATTAATAGCTGTTGGAAATGACGTTGAGAATTTAAGGAAATCTGAGTTTATCCTTGGGAAATCGTGAGCACAGTGAAGTTCCGAGATTTTGTTCAGCTGCTTCGTTATCTTTACCTTACTGCGCTTCGTTGACATGACTGATCGCTTCTGCTGGCCAAAGCAAAGCGTTTCTTGCAATTATATACCGATTTAAAATTCCATAAACAAAGAACTGAATGTCTCCTTGACTAAACTAAAAATGACTTGAATAAAAATGTTTTTGATAAACTGTTAATGTCAAAATAGGAGAATTTTAGTCATTTTCCCAACAATTACAATTCACGAATATCAATATATGTTCGCACAAAACTAAGAAATTGACATAATTTTACTGAAGATGCAAAAATTATTAATAAAAAAAGTGTGCATATTTAAACTTACACCGATTTTTGGACTAGATTCGCTGGCATTGGATTTATGGGAAAATATTGAATTCCTAGAAATTTCATTTAAGACTTTTTCAACAAAAATTGCTCTGGAAGATGTAATAAATTGAAAATCCATTTTCGTAAGAGTTTGTGGAGTAGTAAACTCGCACAGTCTTTTCGTAATTAGTGCTTCTGTTCTCCTTTCAACATAAAAAGGAACGAGAGATCCTGAGAAATTCATATTGACCAGTAGCGCGCCCGGGGGGCTCAATCTCATTTTCCCAGAAGTCAATACTTATTAAAAATTCAACCTATACTAATTTTCTATACCAACGTAAGTCATTCAACATATCAACTGTTTACATAATAAATATATTCGGGTCACTTCTGATATCCCCCTCCCTCAAAAAAAGGTGCGGGTCTGACAACAGAAACCCAGGACCTGGGGGCAGTTGATCCATGGGTCACCTTATTTTTTAAAAGAATACCCTCCACAAATCAGAAATATAATTTATTTCTCTACGCTTAAGAAATTACTCGTCGCGTCAATTTAATTTAAAGATATAATTATCTTTCATTTCTTACGAATGGAAAACAAAAATCATTTGGAGTCCCGATAAGGTCCGGGGATTTACCGCAGCAGTCTCCCCCCCCCCCTCCCACCATCGTCTTGTTCCCTAAAGTCTCATTTTTCGAATAGCCAGTGAAAGTATATATAATAAGGTAAAAATTAATCAATGCACTAACATTGTTCATAAGTTCACAATCTTCCACAAGTTCGTATAATATTTTATCAAATTTCTTTATCGCATCACTTGAGATATCATAATGGTTTGTTCGTGAGTGGGCGCGAATTGTCTCAGGCTTTAAAGCAGACAAGGCATTCGTGAGAGAGGGTATCATTTCATCGTAATATGAGAATGTTTCAAAATCAAAATGTCTCGCATTCAGATGAATGTCAGAGCTAGTTCCATCGCAGCTACCCCGACATAGAGGAGAGGAGATTTTTCACTGGTATGATACTTATTGAATTTTATAACCAATAAAATGAAATTAACACAAGCAATATTACTATTTATATAACATTCATATGTGAATGGACTAAGGGAAATAAAATCCTCAATGTTTTTAAACAGTCTTTATTTCTTCGAGTTTACATTATTTAGATGCAATGTAATATTCAGTCTTATTAGAACCTTCAAACTGTTGAATATCAATATATTGTTGTACATATAACACAGCTCTATTTAACATATCTTTATATATAATACATTTGTACACAAATAATGGCTCGGAATATAGGAATGTTATGTTTGTACATATGTTTAAAGCTAGAAGACTAGATCACATTTAAGAAAGATCTATTTCTAATATATTTCTATGAAAGTATCAGCAATAGTAAAATATGGTCTGTCTGTTAATAAAATGGTCAGCATTAGTAAAAATAGTCAAAGACTAGAAAATAGAATGAGCATCTTGGAACAACAACATTGGTATGTTTGGTTTGAATTATACGGACACACACTTATGTTTATAGCACAAAACAAAATATAACACACTGCAGAAATTATTACATTATGGCACCAAAAACAACTATTTTAATAATGACTAAGCATTTGGTATGAGAGCTAAAGCCAAATAAAATATTCCTCACACAAAAATTTTTAAATGAGAATAGCTGGAACGAAAAAAGTTATTTTAATGTATTATAAAAACTTGGAATGCAAATGTATTTAAAGGAACATTTCACTCTCTTCCTAGAATTACAAAAAGATTCTTCAAAAATACACCGAGATAATTTGGGAGAGGCACTTAAGCATTAGTGGCAGGAAAACATATTTATAAATCATTCACCACATAATTTTCAATCAATATAATAGTATCTAAGGGAACATTTCAGTCACTTCCTAAAACTACACGATTATTCTGCAAAAATAGAGATAACTTGGGAGAGTCACTTTTGCATAAGTGACAGGAAGACATCTTTACAAATCTTCTTTACATCATTTTCAATCAATATAACACTACACTAAAGGAACTTTTCACTCACTTCCTTAAATTAGAAAATGATTCTGGAAAAATACACCGAGATAACTTTGGACAGCTACGTACGCAAGTCACAGGAACACATCCTTATAAACCACTCGCATCATCTTTTCCAATCAATATAATTGTAGTTAAACGAACATTTCACTCACTTCCTAAAATTAGAAAAAGATTGTGCAAACGTTCGCGGAGATAACTTGGGAGAGTCACTTTAGCATAATTGACAGGAAGACATCTTTATGAATCACATCACTCACTACATCATTTCAATTTATCCACTTGGTTTACTTTTCAATTTCCTGCAGCCAAAATGTAAGTGGTGTTTATTCTTTTTCTGATCAGTATCCAAATACAGCCAATTTCAGTTCTTCAATCGTTGTCGTAAATGAGAAGTTCATGAAATACGAGTATACTCTGTAGTTCACGACAAAACAAATCCTTAACGTGAATCTGGCCTCTTCTCGATCTTGCAGTTCACCTGAACACGCCGTTGGAATACCAGTCATCACAGAGCGCAGGCTTGCCGTAGCCATGGGCGGAGGACGAGTTCATGACATTATCAATGACATTGTACACAATCCTCTGCTGCAGGTAGTCGCTCCCCATCGGCAGCTTGAGGTAGCCCGGCTTCTCCGCGCACGTGGCCCCGGCGGCGACGAGCAAGTCGACGACTTGTGAGTGGTACTCGGCCAGCGCCAGGCTCAAGGGCGTGTCGCCGCCTTCCTTGGCGTTCACGTCCGCGCCCCTCTGCACCAGCAACCTCACGCACTGCACGTGGCCCTTCTTGGCGGCGGCGTGCAGCGGGGAGCGAAAGCTCAGCTTGAGGTCGGCGCCGGCGTACAGCAGCGACGACACGCAGTCCGCGTGGCCACCGGCGGCGGCGAAGTACAGCGCGTTGCTCAGATCCTCGCGCCAGTCCGCGGACGCGACGGCGCACATAATGGCACACAGCGCCTCGCATCGCCCGTCCTGCGCCGCCGCCACCAGCGCGTTCTTAGCCGCGGCCTTGAACCGCTCCGGCTCGGCGCACGCCACCGCCCACACCACGCACCCGCTGCCGGCGCTCTCCACGGCCGCGTCCAGCGGCGCCGCCTCGCGGACGGCGTCCATCTTAAGCAGCAGCTCCACCACGCGGCCGTGGCCGCACCTGGCCGCCTCCAGCAGCAGGAAGCCCGGGCTGCGCTCCGCGTCCAGCGCGCGCCGCTCCACCAGGAACCGGACCGCGTCCACGCGGCCGCTGCGCGCGGCGCACATGAGCGGGCTGCGCGCGTTCTTGTCGCGCGCGTCCACGGCGGCGCCGCGCTCCAGCAGCATCGCGCCGGCCTCACGGCCCCGTGTCGGCGGCCGTAAGTGCGGCGCCGTCTTGCCGAAGCGGTCGCCTTGACGCACGTCGGGCCCGGCTCGCCAGCAGGCGCAGCCGGCGTGGCGCGCGCGGCGCGGCGCGCAGCGCGGACGGGAGCGTGCCGCGCCCGTCGGCGGCGCGCTGGCGCCGGCCCGTCGCCGCAGCAGCGCACCAGCCGCTTCGTGGCCCTGTGCGCGGCGGCGTCCAGCGCCGACCGCGCCACCGCGTTGGCCGCGTCACGCCGCGCCCTCGCGCACCGCACGCAGCGCGCATGTCGTGCCGCCGCGCGCCGCCTGCGCAGGTGGCAGCGGGCTGTTGCCCTGCGCGTCGCGAGCGTCGGCGCGCGCGAGCCGCACCAGCAAGCAGCGCAGCCGCGCCGCTCGTGCCCTGCGCCGCGCGGTTGGCCGCGGCGTGCGCAGCTGCCAGCCGCGCACGCCCTCGCGCCCTTCCGCCGCTCGCGGTGTGGACGGTTCATTGCTCCTTGGCACAGCAGCTCGTGCAAGTCCTCCGTGTGGCACCTGCGCGCCGCCATAGGCAGGCCGTGTCGCGTTGCCGGTCGCGCTCGCACGGCTGGCGCGGCGCCCAGGTGGGCGCGCGCAGGCCGGCCGCGTCGCCGCGACTGGTTGCGCCGCCTGCAGCGGCGTGAGCGCCTGGGGTTGCGGGGCGCGCGCGGGCAGCGGGGGGAGGCCCGGGCCAGGCCTTCCGCTCGGGCAGCGGCGGGGGGGCGAGCAGAGCGGCGCGTATGGGCAGGTCGGGAGCAGGTGATGCTGCTTGGGCGGCGAGGGGTGAGGCGGCTGCGATGCCGCGGCAGCGGCGGCGGCGGGCAGACGGGCGCGCCGGCACCGGGGCGGGCTCGAACGGGGCGGGCGGCGGGCGGGGCCGGCGGCGGCTGCGGCTTCTTCCTCTTCCTGTTCCTGCTCCTGTTCCTGTTCCTCTTCGTCGTCAGCTGAGTACCACATGTCCACCATCTCCTCCAACCTATCAACTTTGGAAGCGAGCGACATCACCATTGGCTCCACGAACGCGAGTGAACTCTCCATCTCGTTCTGGTGATTGCGAAAACTCTCCTCGAGCTGGTGCCGCCAGTCGTCCAGTTGCAGGGACATGGTGTGAAGATCCGTTCGCAGGCGCGAAATCTTCCTCGAGCAAGGGCACGAGCATTGGTCGTTCCCAGCGCCGTTCGCCATCTCTCTTCTTGGTTAACCTACGAAACAGGAAGGATTTCGCTTGACGTTCTTCATTTGATGATACCACAGAAAATAGTCTCTCTATGCAGTAAGTACACTTTTACAACATTCTTCCTCTTTCTTGAGGTGTTAGTCACATTTCGAGAGCAGGGACGTTGGTGGATGGGACTGCTAGATATGGAAATTCAGAAGACTGTGTTATCTGCTGTATCTTATTTTCTACTCTCTTACATACAAGGCTGATAGTGCAAATTTCAAATCCTATGTTCGAGATACTGGCGTGACAGTACTAACTAGTGTTACCTTGTAGTGTAGGAATATCTGCTGATCAAATGAATGATATTGAAAATACTACAATTTTTCAATGTTTATTTTATTTTTTGCATTATATTACAGTAATTTGTTTTTTTCAGTACACTAACTTATTTTTGCATTTAAGTCTCCAGAGACGGTTTTATACTGTTTGCTTTAGAATGCGCCCGATGTTACGATAATTCACGTTTATGAATGTAATGATACAATTTCAGCCTAGTGCCCTAATCTTCTTTCACTGTTATTGTTCCAAATCAACTTTCGCGCTTTAATTCTATGTCAAATTCTAGTTTTTCAATGACTACACTAATTAACCTTCTTATGCACAGGATGACGTTTAAAAGTCTATTTTATAATATAGATTGTCAAATTAATTTTAAGGTATCACAAGATCGTAATTGCGATGTGTATTATTTCAGAATTGTTAAATATTAATCCCACCTTCCACCCTGAATTAAAAGATTGTTATAAAGTAAACGGTAAACGGGGTCGGTGAACAGAGGTTAAATGACGAAGTCAATGGAAAGGTTATTGTTGTTAGTCACTACAACGATTCACAAAGAGCATGCTCGTTTCTCGTGCATTATCTTCGTCTCGAAACAAGGCTGAAAATCACGGAATGTGACAGAGTAGCGCCCCACACTGAAACGTATTTCACACGCACATATAAAATCCAGAAACACCTCAGTACAATCCAAACATTGTGCCGTAGACAGCTCCGCGTAATATTTATAATTCGACCTCATAACTAAAACTTCTTTTTAAGTGTCTTCTGTTCTTCGATTTTTTTTAACTTCCACGTATGCACGCATTTGTGAATGGAAAATATTTGACCAAAGATAAAAAACAACAGATTTTTGTAGTTGTGTATCTGTAATACTTCATAAAACTGGTCCACCTCTGCCATTTATGTTTGCGAAACATTACCGTGAGAGGGTAACTTTAAGTTACCTCTTCACGGGAAAATATGCATCTGGTATTTTATATCCCACACTCTAAAAAACAATGTTAAAAAATTGACGTCGTGTACATTATAAATGTCCTAGTTGACACGTAAAAATGATGACAGAAGACATAAGTCCACATTTCCATCAGCAGATTCTCGAATTCTATTGTTCAATTAAGTGCACGTTGATTGATGATTAGTCGACTCGTCAACATCAGCACTGTATTACGGATGAGAAAAAAATACATTTCAGTAACAAACGTCGAAAACGCAAATGTTTGAATTGATAAAATTGCGATGCTAATAACAATAGCACATCACTGCGGTATGGGGGCAAGCATGAGGTTGAACGTAGTCATTTTGTTCCTACAAGAAACGTTGCTCTAAATCTTCAAGGTTATTGTATGCAATAAGTAAAATAATGTATTTAATTTCTAGTTTAACTTTAGAAACGTCCATGCACGTTAAACAAAGGTAAAAATTAGTAATAACACTCAAAAGTTCTGTTTCAAATCGATGCCCTTGAGGCATGTCGGCGTCTCTGGTGACCGAAGTTATAAAACTGCAGCGAATGTTTCAAATGCAAATGTAATGTAAAAACTACGAATATATTATTTTCGTAGTTCGGAAAAAGCTTTTATTTGTCTTCCTTATGTAATGAGAAGAAATAAATTCGGAAATTAATCACAATACCTTTTGCGGATAATTGTAAGAAACGGCAATGGAATAAATTATTAGTAGTATTAATTGGGGGCGTTCTAGATTTTTACGCTTGATATTGGTATATACACTATTATTTGTAAAGTTTGTGATTTTCATAAGAATTAATTATATTCTGGTTTGCTTCGTCTAATATTTATGACAAGAATGTCAAAAGCTGCAAGCACATGTTCAACTTTCAAATCCTCGAGGTGATAATACCTGACATTCACAACTCAAGACCCTTACAATACAAAGGTATTGAATAATAAATTCAACCAATTTACATTTCAGCTAAAAAAATGAATTTACAATCCTTTATCCGAACACTTGAATTGAATTGATGTCTTATTTTCCGTGGCAAGACTCAGGCCAGCAGGCCCGCTCTTCCGTGCGATCATAGTTTTAACTGAAAATATGCTGAAGCCAAAAATCGAGCGTCTCTGACATACTACTAAGTAGAGGTATCATGAAAATGTAATGAAAATGTAACGAAATGTTCTCGTTTTGTAGTTTACTTTCAAGAAACATAGCACGTGTCGCTTAAGAGGAACGAAAAAGCTGCTGTAACGGCCTTACACGGTTATGCACCATTGTTTGGTGTATGTGTGTGTATGGGGGGGGGGGCAGAGCAATGTGCGTTGCAGCCTGCTCTTCCGCGTCAGCCACGTTGCGAACTTCCACGTTTCTCCTACAGGTCTAATTGCTGGAGGATGGACGGGGTAATTCCCTCTCCACGACACGCAAGCTAATGAAATTTCTTATGGATGAATTAAAAACTTGGATGAATGGAAATCAAAGCAACGAACGCAAAATCGGCATGTTTTAACACCTCTTGAGCAAGTTGGGAATAAAACTTTCCCAACAGCTCATCTACAAGGGGCCATATCTTCCGTCTTTACAATATGTTATGTGAAATTGAAGGATCTAAGATTTATGAAAGTATTTAGAAATAATATGGAAATAGGGGGCGGGTGAAAGAATGTGGATAAATAGCTAAAAATTGTATTCAGAGCGATTATAATTTTGAAGAAACTCTTCTTGAAGTTCAAAACAATAGTGATAAACGTTTACAGATTATTCTCAGGGTTCGAATATTTTGAATAGGAACACATGATTGACACGGAGACGTTGCGATGCCACAGCCTGCTATATGGTGCACATACAACCGGGCCAAGGTTAAACAATGACAATGACTTCGTTTCTTGCTGTGTGTTTCTGAGCTATAAAATCAAAAACATAGCTCTTCTATAATTAAAAATAGATTTAAATTACGAAAAAAATCACAATTTTTAGAAACCATAGAATAAATTGACATTTTTATACATTTGTGCCACAACGAATCGGTTTTTCAATTTGACCCAAATACTCCCCCTTGTTCTATTAAAGACTAAAATATAATCGGTTTGTTCTAGAAAATGTACTGTCGGCCTTAAATGAGGACGTTTTTTGGTGAAATTGTGCATCGGAGAGAAAACACCTAAAATAAAACCTATAATACGTTGACGGACAGAATGACACGGACAGAACAGAATGAGAGTTTTGTACCAATTATACGACACAGTCAACACAAAATCTCGTAAGTGTGGTACTGTTTGATAGGGAACTACCGCTTCCCAGCCAGAATCAAATAGAGTTAAGCTGTTAATGAATGTTGGCATTTTAGTATGAAATAAGGGAAACTGCAGACGCATGTGCAAACTGCAACACATATTATCATTGTCTATGTGCTGGCGATCATGCAGTATCTAGCGCCACGCCCGAGAAAGACGCGAAATTCCGTGATGTACCTTGGTGAAGACAGGCCCCACGCGCCAAAAAATAAAACCCCAAGTATATGTCTTTTATGCCCTTAAATCGAGAGATATTGCCCAGGGCACGAACTGATGTCACTGCAGTGAGAGCGTAGGCTTCCGCGGCCGGAGTGAGTATTTACTAGGCTGTCCAGGTGACCGGTCCCGGACAGCCTAGTAAATACTGATGTCACTGCAGCCTTGCGGACTGGGAGGTCCTAGGTTCGAGTCCCGACAGTGGCAAGACTTTCGACGCTACCTCATCATCTAGGTAGAATTCAGTGTCTGCAGGATAAGGCTGGCGGCCGGCTGGTCTAATCGGTATTTTCATTCAACACCCGGCGAATGCAAGAGAATTGCCTTCACAAACGGGCCACGGCTCGCACGATATCTTCCGTACCTCTTCCTGTTTTTACCCTCACTTCTCAGACACAAGCACGCACTACACTAGCACATATGCTGGGACACCGGTCGGGAGCTTAGAGCTTGCCCCGCTGGGAGATAATTGGTTGGGGACAACCTCGCTAGCCAACGGTAGGTCGGCGCCGGATCTCGCCACAGCGGGGGAAAACGACCGCCACCTCCCGAGCAAAAACACACACTACATTTACGGCACTAATGACCAGAGTAGTTGACGCGCCCGGAATCACTAACAATTAATCAAAGCCCTTAAAGTCACAGTTTCGTGTCCCTAATGGAATAATATGCTTACTATGGAATTATGTACAGAATCATACTTTTTATTGCAATGTATTTTTTTTTCAATGTTTTGCTCTTCCGAACACACTAATTCCGTAAGAAAGTTGATTCAAAGCTAGCAGAAATACGAACTTTAGGCAAAATGAAATTGATATTGTGAGCACTTTATCTTAGAGCTTCGCAATATCAGATTGTTTACCTACACACACTACATGACATTTAATGCGATAACACACAGTTTCAGGCTAAGCCGTTCGATCAATTTATCGATTGATTGGCGATTCCAGACGCGTCAATTGCTAAGGTCATTATTCCCGTAAGTGTAATGTATGTTTCATTGCGGGAGGTGGTTGTGATTTTTCCCCGCTGGCTGGTGAAATACGGCTCCGACCGACCAGTCGACTAGGGATTTTTCCCTCAACCAGGTATCTTCCAGCAACGGGACACCTTCCCAGCCAGGGCAAGATCTAAACTGTCCGACCGGTCTCTCGGCAAGTGTGTACGTAAGGTGTGAGGTTAGTTCAAGAATTATATAGAGTCCGGAATATTCGCTCAGGACCAAGTAGTT